CCTGGGAATTTAGGGGCTTTTATTCAGAAAACTGCATGACAAAGTCAATAGCACTATTTGGAGAGAAAGAAGGAAAGAAAGCTTAAAGGGGCCCTCTTTGAAAATTCATGGAATATTACTCAGAATTCAAAAAAGATAAACACATACAATTTGCAGCAACATGGATGGCGCTGGAAGGGATCATGCTCAGCGAAATAAGCCAGAAAGAAAAAGAAAAATACCGGATGGTCTCACTCATAGCAGGAATCTAGAAAACTTAAATAAGGGACCAGGAAAATGAATAACTATAAGAAAGTGAAAATCAAAATCAACAAAAATCTATGAACCAGAGACACTCTATGGGGAGTAGGGGGCAGGAGGGGAGGGATTGGGGTCAAAATAAGGGGGTTGCAATTGTATGGGGAATATAAAAATAAAATTTATTATAAAAAAATAAAATAAAGTTAGATTGTAACAATAAAAAAAAAAGAAAAAATTCAGTGTCCACTTAGGATTTCAGGGAAAAGGCATGTTTTAATATACTAGTGGAGATCCAGAGTAGATGTGCCATTTATATTCTACAAGACATAAAATGGATGGTTACTTGTATTTTTAATTTATCTTTGTTTTGAGGGAAACTGGCTTTCTAATTAGAGTAGCTTTTTAATATCTTTTTGATCCATGGCAGGGAGAATGAAAGTTAGTGCTTGGATACTGAGAATCTTTGAGACACTGTACTATTTCTTTTGATGAAAAAGGACCCATGGTTATACTTTAGAGACTATGTTGGCAGTCCCAAAGGTCCCGTTGCATCTTCAGTAGAGTAAATGTACAAGAGAGAACTGCTGGAGGGAAGCATGGAGTGACATCCAGAAAATGTAACAATTTTTTTTTTTTTTGGCCAGGCATTGTGTAAATTATATTGTCAGTTTGTCCTATGCTTCAATACCAGTTTAATCCCCAAGGCTCAAGAGTTTAGTTTGATTTGGAAGGTTTTTACTATCAGCTCAGGTTTGATTTTTGACATCTCATTTTGGTGAATTGAAGGATTTTCACTGGAAAAGGAGTGAGAGGCCAAATCCACTGAATTAGTTTGGTCCCCACCATCCTAGACATACCTCTGAATTGGTATTGAATGACTTGTATTAATTGATTTTCTTGTTCCGTTCTGTCAGCCATTCTCTATTCCTTGTTACGTGATATCTGTATTCTCGGTTAGTTCTGAGAAAGAAGTGCCCATCAGAACTTCATAAATGCATAGGTACCTATTAACTGGGTCATTTTTCAGAGGAGCTTTGAATGAAACCACTTATGTGGCATCAAAAGACATAAGTATCTGAGGGAATGTGCTATTGGTTGGGAGGTGCTAGATAGATTGAAAAAAACTTGAGTTGCACTGTCACCCTTGGGTCTACTGTTTTCTTCTTTTAGGATGAAATTGTGATTTTTTTTATATTGAATCATCAATAATTCCTGGGGCATCTTACACTGATATTCATAGCTTATACATTTAGTTATTTTTTTTTTTTCAGTTTGAATGTGCTTTCTTTCACAGACTCAGAAAACACTCTTGAAGCCTTTAAGAGACCCTGAATTTTATTTAATTTCTTCCTCTGCCTTTTGAAGGGAAGTATTGGCATTTCGAAAGAGTTAGGAAAGTGATATTTTTAAAATCTATATGCTGAGCACTATGCCAGGTACTTTACATATGTTATCTGACTTGCAAGTGTTTCTTTATACTGTGATGGTGGAAATAAAATAGACCTCACACATTCTGTAAAATTTTTCTCTGAAAATAACAAGATAAAGGAAAATAGACTTTAGGATGACCACGCAAAACATATTTGGCTTTGTAATGCAAACACTAACAATCCTAATTTAAAAATACTGAGTTAAAATAACACAGACTCCATTTTTTTTTTAAATGGGAAAAAGTAGCTGGTAGAATGGGATATAAAGAGGAAGGTGTTTAATAAATACCTTCAAAGCACAGCAAATAAACATGGAAAAACTAAACCAAGAGGCAGAATTTGGGGGTAAATGAACATAATGACTTGTACTATGTTCTGAAATTTTTTGTATTTAGCTGTGTTGGTATATTGAGCATAAAACTGTAGTTGCTTGCTGCATCACATCATGTGATGAGAAAAAAATGTCTGTAATAACAACCTGGCTTCTGAATTATACTTGCATAATTCCTCTGTTTAATAACCACAATCAAGCCCAATAATAAGAATGATAGATGTCTTTCCAAAGGTCACTCAGCTACTTAGTGATTGCTGGACCAGTGTTTATTCCCTAATGTAAATTATCTTTCATTTCTAAGGGAGAAGGGATTCCTTCTTTGACTTGTCAAAGTTATTTTCCATCAAACTAATGAAAATCAAGTAGAGCACCATACTTGGAATTCACCTTTTGGAATTGGAAATTTAGCCATAAAATAGGTCTAGATCCAGCTTAATTGCCTTTGATTTTAGCTTTATGTTTTCTCCAGAGACTCAAGACTTGTTATAGCAGCCCATAAAGCTAAGATCAGACAGGTTGGATAATTTGCTTTCCACGAAATGACTGGCTTTTTGTTTCCAGTAGAAATAGGTGCATTGTTATATTTGAGATGTTTGGAAGCCAAGCATTTGGAACTCTGTATTATGTGATATTATACCATTGTATAAAAATAAGATATGAAAAATTACCTAAATGCCACAAAATGATACAGAATAGGACTTTTGTATAAAAATGGTTTATTTCAAAAAACCATGCCTGCACTTCTAGTTAAAGCTAAGATAAAATAAAGGAGCCTAATTTTGAGCCCTAATTACTTACTTTTGCCTGAGCTCATATTTTCTATCATCTATGAGAATCAAGGTGACATCAGCTTTTTCTGTAACATTGAATTGTGTCAATGGTAGTACCTCTTTCCCTAGGTTAATTATGAAAACTCTTTAGGGAAACAAAAAATAGTTCTGCACAAATTAGTTCAAAATACTCAAACTGAAAGTGAAATGACTAGTATAATACTAGTATTCTTGAGTACTAGTAAGTATCTTTCTCAGGCTTTGGTTATGTCTTCAAGGGATTTTTTTTTCCCTTCAGTAATATGCAGAATGAAACAGTACATATTAGAATGAGAAAAAGAAAATTCTTGAAAGTTTGTGCTTAAGCATGAATTTAGATGGGTTAAAATACCTATCAGAGAGACAATCTTTGAGAGGCTGAATAAGGACTCTTGGGAAAGAATTGGGGCATTTTTTAAATGGAAAAAAAAAAAACCCTGAACAAACTATCATTAGATATGTTTTGGCCTCTCTGGGCAAGCAAGTGTTGGTTAAGTCTCTCAAAGCCACCCTGTACTTCTAGAAGGATAGTCTTTTACATATAAAGACCTTACATATAAAAACTTCACAGAGGGCTGATGCAGTTATCTGGAAATTTCAACGAAAAAACTAAATCCCTTCCCTCTAAAAGCCCAAGAAAATAAGCAGAAACAAGGAGAATTGAAAACCCAGCTAGAATGCAATTCATTGCTATTTTACTGCTTTCTGTTGGTAAATTTTTTGGATTTTATTGGTACTTTCCTTCTATTGTTATGACAAATAATTTTCTCATTTACACAATTGTATTGAGTTCCTAGTGCTTGAACATTAGCGTGGCAATGTGTGGTACAAAGTCTCAAGATTTGATTTTGTTGTGTTTTATATGGGGGTGGGGAGTGGATGTGGGTTTTAAAGTCAGTATTTTGAGATCATAGCTTCTTAGCAACCTAGGTTCCCAATTGTGCTTATACATAATACTTTAAAGACTCCAAAGTAATGGAATTTAATGTAACAAATAATGAATTCCTACATTCATTCCAATTATCAATTTGTAAGAAGACATCAGAGATGAATGATAAGGAAAAATATTCCAAAATAACTTACCAAGGGCAATGAAGATCCACTCTATAAATTCCAGACCATTTAGGAAGGTTTCTGCTTAGAGTCTGGAGAAGAGGTAGAAGGAATAGATTTGAAAACTTTAGCTTTTTCGTTGCCTTTTTGTCTCTATGTTCATATATAAGTGATATGAGAGATGTTGATCACATTACTTCAGGTATTACTTTTAGTCCAGACTAACATATCACATAGTTTCCCCCCATACCAAATTTCTCATAAGGAATCAGAGGATCAAGAAATGACATGATGTTTTTGTTTTCCTCATTCTCCTAAGAATTACTTGCTTTTGTAATAGGCTCCATTTTTATGGCCAAATAAACTTTCAGTGACTTCGTAAGATGAGACTCTAGGCACACTTCTTGTTTAAATTGCCCAAATTGCTTGGATTTCTACTGCTTTGTCTCAGAGACTGGTCCACAGGAGGCATGACCAATGACTGTGCACCCAACAGGAAGCTCAGTGGTTCAGTTACAATCTTTCTGTCACTCGCAGTCTAATCTATACCAAACACTGGTCCAAAATACAAGAAAAATGCAAATTGAAGTGATTAAAAAACACTTTGAAGCCTACTTGCTGGTCACTAACATGTACCAAAAATGAATCAAGTGCCACTTAGCTGAGAACACAAGTTCCAAAGCAGAGGAAATCTGGGAAAAGTCAGAGAAGCCATGTCTGTTCTGATCTGAGTAATTATTTCAGCATTCTCCGTTATAGTTCCTTCTTGACATAACAGAAATTATGTGGTATGAGTGAAAGTATACAAAACAGGCAAAACTCATCATTGGCACCAAGAGTCAGGGTGTGTGGAATTATTCCAATGGCAGTACCTCTCTGTTGTTATTGAAAATAATTACTCACAGTAGTTACTATGAATAGTAATTGGAAAAGAGTATGGGAGATTTGTTTCTTGAGCTGATGGGGATTACACCAAGGTGTTTACTTATGGAAAATTCAACGACCCACTTAAGTTTTGTGCATTTTGTAAATGCATGCTGCCTTGTTAAGCATACAGGGATGTGGATAAGGATGTGGATAAGTCATAGTACAACAGTTTTTTTTTTTTTTTTTTAATGTGGTGCAAATCCAAAGGCAGAAACATGCAGTGGCTCGAAGAGTTTGCAGGGTGTGGTCCTGGGGGACAAGCACAAAACCCTGAGGTAGGAAGTGATCCACCACATTTTCCTTGGGGTTGCAAAGTGAATTGAATATTAATTTCAATCCCCTCTAACCAGGGCAAGCAAGGTGGCCAGTATTAACAAGACATAATTTGAGTGTTAAATTTTTAATGAATTCATCTAATATTTAATGGATTCTAACCACTAGCAGACTAGGGTGCTGGGGCTGCAGGAATGAATGCAACCCCACTCCTTTAGTACTTGTATTCTAACAAGAGACTCAGGCCATAAACCTGAAAATAAATTAATGTAGAGGGAGTTCCAGTGGTAAGTGCTAAGGAGAGGAAAGCATCAATCATATGAGTGGGGTAAGAGGTGACAGGAAGGGGAGTAGCTTGTCAAGCCAGAGCAGTGAAGGAAGGTTTCTTAAGAAGGTGACAAGTGGCGCCAGACGTGAGTGAGGTGGTCCCTGAAGGTAAGAGGGGAGCATGTTAACGAAGCAGCAGTGGGCCGTGTAGGGTGATAAAACTGCACAGAGAACAATGCCACTGTCACAGGGCAAGCAAGAGGTCAAGAAGGAGGGGCCAGTAGGAGATGATGTCAGAGCTGACAGGGTCCTTAGAGCATCCAATAAAAGATTTTTGAGACAATTTGGAGTAAGAGGAATGACATGACTGTATATTCAGAGGCTCACTCTGGCAGCTCCACTGGGAATAGACTAAATGGAAATAGGAGCAGAAGCAGGGAAATTTGCTTAATCTAGGTGGGATTGTACCAGGTAGTCACAATGAAAGTGGTGACAAGCCTGCAGATTCTGAACACGGATGGGCAAGGCTTCTTGACATTGATGACCTGGATATGCAGTAAGACAGAGAGGGAAGAGTGAAGGATTAATCCTAGCATTTTAACCTGAGCAGCAGCTGGAAGGATAGAATTGGCATTCACTGAGAAGGGAAAGACTACAGGAGCAAAGTTTTTGATGGGGGCTGAGGGCAGGAAGGAATAGGGAGGGGGAATCAGGAGCTTAAATCTGCACATTTTCAGTTTGAGAGGTTAAACACTGGAATATTGATATCAAGTAGGCTGCCACATTGATCCATCTGGAACTCAGAGAGCAGAGCTGGGCTGAAGAAATCAGGCAAGGAGACCAAGGAATGTAGATAGAGGTAGGTGAGAATCCAGGAGCTAGTGGAGGTTGGAAGCCAAATTAACAGTGTTTCATCAAAGAGAAACTAGTTGCTTGTGCCCAATACTGTTAAGTCAAAATAACTGAAGACTAAGAATTGATCATTGGTTTTAGCAATGTGGGAGGTCTCTGCCACCCTTGAAAGGCTCAGCTTTGGCGGGGTGCAAGGAAGAGAGGTCTTTTACAGAAGATTCAAGAAAGAATAGGAGAGACAATAGAGGCAACTTTTCCAAAGAGTTTTGCTATAAAAAGAAGAGAAATTGATGATTGCTGCAGGGGAAGGAGAAGAGGGGTTACTCGGTATTTTCTTATGATGCAAGTAGAACAACGATCAAGTAGAGAAGAGAAATCTGAGCATGAAGGGAAATGAAGACAACCACTGTAGCACAGGCCTTGAGCAGACTAGTGGGAATGGATTGTAAAACTCAGGAGACCTCACCTGGGAGCTTGGAAAATACAACCCCAAATAGAGAGAAGGTACAAGATGTAGACCCGCTGGTCATTAGAAGGCAAACAGTGCTGGGATCCATGAATAGAAGCACACTGAAAATATTCTTTGTGTGAAAGTTTATGCCAATGTTACATTTTCTGGAAACGTTAAATTTCTGAGAAAAGTTAGTCTTGTACATTATTCAAAGTGTTTTAGTAGTCATTTTTAGGGGAAGGAACTGGCCAATAACTGATTATAAGACACTCAAGGAATGCCAAGTGTTTTTAGTGAAACGTTTTTCAAAAATTTTCATTTTTATGAGTAAAGATGTTAAAGCATCTTTCCAGTCAGAAAATACAGACAACATCCTATAAAGTGATGATAAGTCTGCAGACTGTGTTATTTACTTTGGGTATAAAGGTCCGTTCCACAGAAAAAGCATTGTTTTCTACAGAAGTTTCAGTGAAAAATACAAAGTCACACATTAGATTTATATAACTATTTCTCCCTTTTTTTACTTACTATTTTTGCTAACAAAAATCAAATGATACACATAAACACAATTAAAATACCCCTTTACCATCATCTGCTGGTCCAGCTGTCTCTTCAGAGATAACAGCTGTAAGAGGTTTTGTGTATCTTCTGATCATTTCCCAGTGTTTTTATTCAATATATGCACAATGTGAACAATTATACCTATAGAAACAGAGTTTTCTTATATATGTGTTTTTAAAAAGTAAAAAGAAGAGATGTAATCTATGTGTTGCTCTTCCATTTAATTTGTTACCTTGACAATATGTCTTGGACATCTCCCTATGTGAATCTATATAGAATGAACTATCCAACCTTCTCAACCCTTTGTTAACATGGCAGTGTATAGAAATAGTATATTTCCTTTTAACCATGCTTCTCTTGAAAGTTATTTAGGTTTTTCTCAATTTTTTTTTTTGTTGTTGTTGCCTAGTCAACAAGCCTCGTGTCACCCTCCTTGGGCACCTGTTCAATGGTTTCTCTGAGTGGAGGGGGAGGCAGGCGGTGGAGTACTCATTGTGGGGACACATTGCTAATCTAACTGCTGATGCTGAAATGCCCTTCAAGGTGATGTGTTGCTTCCACTCTCACCAGCCAGGTGAAAGAAAGCTCCAGTGTCCTCGTTATGTTACTGACATTTAATATCATTATTTTAAGTTTTGCCGAGATGTGAGAAGCAGTATTTCAACATTGTCCTGAGGTGCAGGTCTGACGTCAGTACTCCCGAGGTTGAGCAACTTGACATTGTTCTCACTTCTGGATTCCTGTTGCTCACGTTATTGCTTTTGACCATTCTGCCCCTTTGATTGAAATTTTGGTGATCATCAAAGTCTAGAAGAGCTTCTGAGCCTGTGATTCCAAGTCTAAGAACAAGTCTCTTCCTTCTATCTTGACTACTTTCAGCTTCATTGAGGTATAATTGACATACAACACTCTAAGTTTAAGGTGTTTAATGTGATGATTTTATATACATATATTTTATGAAGTAACTGTCATGACAATTTAGTTAACACATCCATCATATCACACACTTATCATTTGTGTGGTGAGAATTTTTGTGATCTACTTGTGATAATTTTAGCAAGACCTGCTCATCAAGATGGAATAGTTCCCAACTCTGAGCTGTTCATGGCTTATGCCTGCTTCAAGTGAGTTTTCTAACTCGTTGTTATAATAATCCTATAAGATATATTGTGCTTTAGCAATGCCAGATCCAAAATAACCATCCACTGTGTTAATAGTGAGACATAACCAAAAGATATTTTCCTTTGGTCAAATTTCCTAGACCTCAATGTCAAAAATTATCCTACCAATTCTCTTTAGAATCTACCAGATGTTTAAAAAGCATAATGATAATACAAAAATATTAAATATGCACCATTTATTTTTAAAATCATCCCTAAAACTGAAATTTTAAGTGGTTACTCAATGCTGAAAAAATATCAGAAAGTAAGCTATGTCATAAAGAGTTAAAATTAAGAACAATAGAAAAAATTATTTAAGGATTGTTGCTGCAATGACCCATAACTGTGGCTCTCTTACATGGAGCACTATTAGCATTAAACATTCTTGTTATTCTAAGAATTTTGGCTTGAATTTACCAAAAAACTACCTTAATTATCAGCTTCATGATGGCAATGGGATTTTGACAGGACATTTATTCATGTTTCCTGCCTAGATCACAGCTTTGAACCCATGGTCAAAGTCTCATCTCAGTGTGGAAGTGTTGGTAAGATTCACATAATAAACTTTTATCATTATTGTGGCTGAGACATCATTTTTCTGTCAGGCTGTGCTGAGCAATCTCATTGAAAATGAATGTTTTCAAAGTAGTATAACTATTGTTGGGGAGAGAGAGATCTATTTGGGCAGTTGTAATTACATGTTGCCATAGTGACAATGGACAGACAGAGGAGACTTCTCATGCACTTATTACTTTCCAGGAAAATTCCCATCTGATATGATAATTGTCAATGCTTGCTGTCTTCCCTGGGCCAAAGGAGAACCTGACACATTATCACTTCACATATTTTGATTGCACAGCCCTTAATCCATTTTATTTGCAGTAGTCATTTCAGAAACATATCAACAAATCTGAGTAAAGGCAGCAAAATTAGAACTAAGTCATCCACTGGGATATGACATTTACCTCTAACTCCACAATATCTGGGAGAGAAAGATAGAAAGCTTAGGGCCTCCAAAAGCCCTCACTTGATTTATTCAGATTTTAAAAGTATTGTGATATCTGTTTAATTATATATATATATATATATATATATCTCACTTAAATTTTAGCACAACCCTAAGAAAAATATACATGCAACAAGGAGCATGAATCTAGATCCATTTGAGTTGAGTAAAGGAAATCAGAGTCAAGTGACACAAATGAATGTTTCCAACAGATGAAAATAACTTATGGTGATTTTTCAATTTAGAAAATAGAACTATGAGAGACTCTTCTAGAGTCAATTTTCAGCTCTGCCACTTGCTGGTTGGAAGACCTTAGGCAAATTTCAGTTCTTTCATGTCTGAAATGAAATTTCCCTCTAGCTCTAATTCTTGATTACTTATCTAGAAAAATCCTCCCCATCCAACTGTCCCAAAAAATAGGATTGACTGAATCAGGACTAAGCGAACTTTGTGGGTGACAGCCATGTTCCATATTTTAGTCGTTGTGGTGGCCATACAGGTGGGTATTTTTGTTAAAACATATGCTGCTCATTTAAAATTTATGTATTTTACTCTCTGTAAATGTGCAAATGATGTAAAAAGTAAAACTTACTATTCTGAGTCACATTTTACTCATGAGGCAACTGGGACTTGAGAGGTAAAGTGATGATTTGCTCAGTTCTTTGTGGGAACTGGAAAACCTATGTTATCCAATGAGAATTACAATTTTATCTTTTGAAAAGTAGTAAGATTTTTACCATAACATTAACTATGAGCCTAAAGCTTTTGCACTTACTACATTAGAATAAAGCAAAACAAAAATGAAAAAATATTTCCACATTCTGCTCTGTTACAGGCTCATTTACATATTACACAGGTAACTAGCAATGAATTTCTGCTTTTTCCTGAGGAAAAGCAGAGAGAGGCTGTCCAGCGGGGAACATCATGATGAGAATCCCAATAGTTTTTCCTTAGAGAGGTGAAACATTTGACATAACAGTGTTCACTGTCTGTGAAGCAGTTCCAGAGCACTCCCTACACGGATTACCAAGCATCCTGTTAAAAACACAGAATCTGATTCAGCAGGTCTAAATTGAACTCTGTCAATTTGCAATTTTTGCAGATCCCCAGCTGATGATGACAGCTCAGGCCTTTGGACCACACATTGAGTGGCAAAGATGAAGCTTTCAGAGCTGAAGTCAAACTTGAAATTTACCCAAGGTCTCAAACTCAAGTGACAGGCTGAAATCAGGACCCATAATTATGTGATTTTATAGTCTTCTTTCCCCTCATGTAAGAAACAAAATAAGAAGGCACATTTATATAAATATGTGGAACCAAGGAGAAAATTTACTAGCAGCCATTATTAAACTGCTTGTTTAAAGTGATCTGAATGTGACCAGTTAGTTCTTTTTTTAATATCTGAACAGTCCATACACTAAGGAAGACAAAAGTTGTCATAACATGTTAACTGGAACATTTGAATATCCTTTACTGCATTCCATCTCCAGAAGTGAGTATAGCGGTAAAAAACTACTTGGTGAACAATAAAGTTGGAAGAGACTCTAACACTATGAACAAATCATATAGTTTGTAGTGGAGGTTGCACATATTTCTGCTCTTCCACAGAATGTCATTTTTTAGCAACTCAAAACATTTGTGCCTTTAGTATATATTATTTTCCTCTGCATAGAACTACTCCAAACAGTGAATGATACAGCAGATAGTTATTAAGAAACTATTGATACTACATACCAGGCTCTGTTAGAGAGATTGAAGATACAATAATGAGTAAGTGGAAAGTTTTTACCCTTAGGGAACGTTTACTTTAGTGAACAGCTGATATCGTTTCTAAATCTTTTTAGTTATCACACAGTGTTCTTAAATCACTTCCTATTTCCAAAATAGCTTGTCTGTCTTTCACTGCATTTTTAGTGTCTTCCTGATGAAATTTTTAGGAAGACAATGTAATAGACAACATGTTTACAAATTATACTTTGGAGTTAAATTACCTTGGCAAAAATTACTTCTATGGCTTTTATTTTTCTATTTAATATAATTTTTTGCTTTTCTTTTAGTGTACAAACTGTTCAGATTTAGCAAGAAAGAGACCTAAATGAAAAAAAAAATTGATTGAAAAGCTAGCTGATTTGTAATTGCGAACTGGTATTAGGTGTAAACAAACATATAGTTATATGCTTAACAAATCAGAAGAATTTGAATTTGAAAATAAACTTCAACAATTTCCTTTAAGCAAAAGACATTTGAGGCTAATAGGCTAATTATATGTTGCTTGAGGAAGGGAAATATTTCCTTCAACTGACTTATTGATTTGTTACCTTTTAACAAAAAATTATGCTGGTCTAATTACAAAGAAGTGTTAGAAAGCTAATAACTTCAAGCTTGGCCGTCCGTAATGGAAGAGAATGATGAATGGTCTAACAGAAACATGCATCTGTGAACTTTTAACCAGAAATTGAAATACCATGTTGATAATGGAAGACCTTGAAAAACTCTGACCAATTTTTCTTTTTATATAAAAGGGATGTCAAAATTGTCTGCTAAATGGTATTGTAATTGGGCCCACAGTGTAGTGATCACTTATAGCAATCACTCAAAACAGCATTTATTTGTCCTCTGGATTAATTTTTTAAAACGAAATTCTTGTTATTCTAATATACTCATCAGTGAAGTACTCTGTCACAAATTTGTCCAAAAAACAATTTCTTTAATGGTTTTAAAGGTCCTGAAGGGCAGCATAATCAATAGATCAACATTAGGAATTCTGGGATATCAAGGTGGATCACTAGGTACCCACATAAAGCCCTCTCCAAACCCCATCAGTGTAGGAATTAAAGGAGCTTTCTAGTTGGGAACATATACATTGGTAGTAAGACTTTCACATAAAATCTTTGGGGAAGAATTTATAGCACTGGTACCATTTGGAAACATGAAACCGTAGCAAGTCTGTAAAAGCTGTTAATATTCCCATTCTTTACAGTATTTTCTGGTCCAGTTATTGCCTCAATTGGCTGATACACTCAGAATCAGATTTCTTTCCCTGGGGCAGAAAGAGCTGTGATTTTTGGTTGATCTGAGGGTGCTTCTGGGGGTATTGGAGCCCAGGATGAGCAGAGCTTGTTAACACCAGAGATTCCAAATACAGCATTGAAACTGGAGTGGCCTCCACAGCTCTTCATTGAACATGTGTGTTCCTGGTAGCAGAGGATCAGAGACTTGAGAAGGATGCAGAGGGCAGCCTGATTAGCCCCTGGGAATCAGAAGTAGGACTAAGTAAGTTTTGAGACTTAAACATTTGGTTTGAGGAAGAGAATGTTGTTTCTATTTTGTTGTTTCTGTTAAGGGGAAAGTAAAAATCATCTACAATTCCACTACCTTTTCTCCAGAGATAATGACAGTTAACTCTCAGGTGTAAATACTCTTAGAAGTGTTTCTTTCTGGCTCACTTGCTTATTTACTTTTTCCCTTTCTATCCACTCTGCTAAATTTTTAAAATGAAAACTACATCATGAGATTTCCATATCATTATTTATTTTTCCATAAAATAATTTTTAGTGACTGCTTAAACATTAATTGTAAGACCTCACTGTCATTGGAAATAAAGGTCATTGCGAAAATTATTTTTATCATCACCTACATCCTTTATTTTTCTTGTGGATTTAATGTATCCCCCAGGTATCCTAAAAGCCTGGATTCAATTGCTGTTGGTTCTTATTACTCATTTTGGGATGGGGACACCAGCAGTGACTTTGGGGTCTTGTTTATTTTTCTCCTAGTTTCTCTCAGCCACACTGACCACTTGAGAACTGGTCAGTGCATTAACCAGAGAACTGACTGGCCCCTCCAGGGCTCCTCATCACTCTGCCATGTCCCCCATTTGTATCTTCCATTCTTAGTACCATTTTCATATTTCATTCTGCTGCCTGCTACTGGCAAGTACAGACTGCCTTAGGTTAGCATCTTTCTCACCAGATTTTTGATGAAAAAAAATTTTGTACATTCTTTCATGTATAGGAAGAAATGGAGGGAAAGAAACTTAAGTAACTTGCCCAAGATCTGATCGCTTGGAAGGAGCAGATCTGTGTTTGAATCAGGGTCTTTCTGACTCAAATGACTGTGTCTTTCCTTCTTATCAGTTTTCCTCATAATTCTATCATATGTGGGTGATGCTGCTTATGTCAGGGTTTAATGTCAGATTTTGTAAACTTTTAATTCAACATTATTTGAGCAGAATGATTACTTGGAACGAGAATTGAGAAGTCCAAGTGAGCCCGAAGGAGATTAAAATGAGTTGGAAAAACTTGTTAACTGGGGTTGTTTATATAAAAAGGAACAAAAATCCCTCAGGTTATAATGTTGGAGGCAGCATAATTAAATAGCATCCAAGTTTCAGTCTTGTAAAGGTTTTCTGGATTAAAATATTTCTTCTTCCTCACCCACGCCACCTTTACTACCCTGAAAGATCTTCTCCAAGGGAAATAAATGCAGCAGCTCAACAGCTCAGCATCCACAGATGTCACTAGCCCAAGGCCTTAGCTT